GTAGATAAGCCCCTCCGAATATAAGCCCCTCCAAAAATAAGCCCCTCAAAAAGGGCCTTTGAAAAATATAAGCCCCGGGGCTTATTTTCGGAATTTTACGGTATCTGGTATAGAGAGAACACAGCCATACGATTCAAGTTGCTGGTTATAATTATGTTGTTAGCAGGTGGAGAACTGAACAGCTAGGAATGTCTTTTCTCAACTTCCTCTGCCTCCTAGCCGTTAATTGTTCCTGAGTTAGGGCTGGGAAAGGAAATTGAGTATCAGCTTAGGTTACAAAATCTTAATCTGACTTCAGCACACCTCTGGAGCCTTCAAATAGTGTTAGTGGATGGACTTTACTTTTACCAAGGCAATAAGACAGTTATGAAAAGGTAGTGGCATTTTCAGGTTTGTAAAATGATGAGCTCACCTTTCTAAGATGGTTACACATCCTGTCTTCCCAGCCCTCTGCAACAGGCCACTCGGGAATAAAAACCTGCAAAGCACAGCAGAAACACATAACTCTTTAAGCCCCAATGGTGACCAACATCTATTTTCTCCTAATGATATCCACACATTGTCAAGAGATAAGGTTATGAGAATTATTGAAACAATCACTACAGAGAAAATGCTTTGATCTTTTATCAAATTCTCTCAACACATCCTTTAAGGAAATGTATAGAGATCAGTTTGGAGAATTGGTATGTGGATATTGGGGCTTAAAAGGTTAATTTAAAACTTGCTTGTATCTGTTGAAGTCTGAATTATTAGAATACTTAATTTAAGCATTAATCAGGGCTCATAAAAAAAACGTAAATTCCAACTCACCTGAGACCACTTCTTCCTTGTCTTACATTGTAGTTAAAATTTTGCAAGAGGGACTTGCCTGGATTCTTACCCATTGGGCATAAGTAATCTTAAAAAGTTACTTTCCCAGTACGAAAATCTACTTGTCCTGAACCCCCTTTGGGACCTTTTTAAACGCTGATTATTTAGCACTAAAGTGCTAATTGCATCAAGCACTTACATAATCTGCTCCAACTCCTAATCCAGTTACAAGAGCCAGATAACTGTAAAAAGAGGCAAGATTGAAGACAAAAAAGGTTAAACCAACATACAGGAGATATGAGGAACTGTGTGGGGTACAGCGGTAGAATGTCAACATTTTTATGCCAGATTTGAAGATACATAACTGGAATTGATCGAAAAAGAACTGAATTAATAATTTATTTTTAAAACATTTAAATTGGCAAATTTAGATACTGTACTCACCCACAGTGTCGGCCCATGACTTCCAAGACAAATGTTCTTTGGTGGCTGATAAAAGAAAAGAAAAATGTATGTATAATGTGACAATACCGTAAAATTCCGAAAATGAGCCCCTGCATGTATAAACCCCTCCAAATATAAGCCCCCCAAACTGGTAACACAAAAAACCCTCCATTAAATGCCCCCTCCAAATATAAGCCTCCCGGGGGCTTGTACTTGGAAAATTGCCCTCAAATACAAAGTAAAACAAAGCAAAAATAGTAAGTTCACTTCCAACTATAAGGCTAGCCCAATCGATTTTGAAACGCAAATTTCCCTCTGTAGATAAGCCCCTCCAATAATAAGCCCCTCAAAAAGGGCCCCTGAAAAATATAAGTCACGGGGCTTATTGATGGTATCAGTTCTCCATAAAGAACTAGAGTACAAAGTGGAGAAGCTCATGAAAAAGAAGGTTGAAGGTCATACAGCTGAGGATCAGTATCAAATCCGAGCTTTCAGTTGGTAAATAAACTATCTCGGATGAGTCCACACAAAGTTTTACAGTCTTGTGATTGATTAATATAGTCTCTCATTTATTAGTGAAGAGTAATTAGGGGAGGGGAGATGGGGGGGGGGGCTTAAAAGAGAGGGGGGCTTCTTATTAGAGGTTATTAGAGGAAAGGGCTTATTCGAGAGGGGGAGCTCATTAATTGACACCCTTGAGTTATAAATTTTTCTAAACTGTGTCACTAAATAAATAAATGCAGAATAATATTATAAGTGTTAATTAATTTTGATACTTATTGACAGGAAACAAAAATCAATCTAATAACCATACCTGTAATTATTATAATAACAATAAGAATCTATATTTACAACAGACAGTTGATGACGAGGACTTCATTTTCAATTTCCATCCCTGCTAACACTTTGACAAGGTCAAGTGACATATCTCAAAGGATATATTTTCAACTTTAACATGTCTGCCATCATGACAATAACTTTTATTGTTTTAACCTGGACGCTGTTGTCATAATGGCGTCAACAGACTCAAAGATCCTATGGAGAGCGGTATCGGCACCAATGGTCATGTCTGTGCCACAGAAATCATTGTCAATGGAGCCAACCTGCACGAATCAATTTTGAAAAAAAAAATCATGATCACAATTTTAAATATTATTAAATATGCTACATTTTAATCATAAAATTGATACACTATAACTACAGTCAAGCCAAGTTAATATGCGAATTGAGTGGACCGTAGAAAGTATCCGGTGTATTTAATAGGGTGTCTGCATTAAGACAATTTAGACAAAATGTAAGCTGGATTTCTTTCTTTGGGGACAGTTCAAACTGTCCACAAAATAATGGAGTGTCTGTATTAAGCGGGTGTTTGTAAAGCAGGGCTTAACTGCACTGCGCTATGAATTAGTCAATTTATTGGGCCAGAACTAGAAGTTAAGTGTTAATTTACTGTTGCAGTTAAGATTTAACCTTTGGTTTAACTTTTATTTCCTTCTGTTGAATTTTTGTTGAGTGTCATCAGATGGCAAAAAAAAAAAGTTTACCGTAAGTTTAAAACAAAAGAAAAGAAAATTTACAAAATTTACCGAGGATAAAATTACACCAAAGTATAATAATTTCTTACACAGTGCAGGTAAACAATAATCAGATCATACCATTCCAACAATGTTAAGAGAATTGTTTTTGCTTGCTACTTCTTTGGAAACTGCACCTGCGAAGGTCATTCATAAAAGTCCAGTAAATTAATTCATACTTATTTATTAGTTTATTATTATTATTTATACATAAAATTAAAAATTATCAGCTGAAATCAAGGAAAATTAACATATATATATATATATATTTAATGACTTAGTCTCACTGCACCCCAGTTAACCTCCTGGGTTTAAGAAAACCTGTCAACACCAGAAATATTTCTGGAAAGTTGTTAATGTCAAGAGGATAGAGCCAATCAATTATCACGTAGATTATTACTTAAATTATGTTCCAGTGAATGTGTTTAAGTTGTCGTTTTGTATTAAGTGCAGTTTGCTCACATATACTGGTGTCCAGTGTGACAGGTCATACATTTGTAACTAAATAAAACATTTTTGAAATATTTCATTAGTTTTATTAACTACACTATAAATTACCAGTGTCCTCTAGTTCTTTCACAAGCTCTGGCCACTCCTGCCTAAACAAATTAGCACCTGTTAAACTACCATCTCCTCCAATGACAACCTAAATTAGAAAAAAAAAATGATCAAATGCATTATAATTAGGTACATACTGATTTAACTGTTACACAGTATACCCAAGATCAAATAACTAGTTGCAACAAGTCATTGACATGTCAATCCTCTCCATAACGGGTCACCAAGTTTGACTGTATAAACAACATTGGGAAACTCGATCTTGAGGCTAACCTCCATAAAAAGCATTCAATTATTTAAATCCCACATGGCACACATGCAACTGACATAATCATGGTCAACACGTTTCTGTGGAGTACGTAATCACAAATTAAACATGCCTTTAAAGCACCCGATAAAAAAATAGTGCATCATTTAAAACACATGATTCCACTTACCAAATTGGTAATTCCCAATGTTACCATGTTTTTTGCCGCTTTCAGACGTCCCCATCGGTTTCTGAAATCCTGGCATCTGGCACTACCAATCACTGTCCCGCCCTGGAAATACAATACATCAATGCCACATGGAAATATATTATTTTGTTGATTACAGCTGTTTGATTTATTATTTTAAGTCAAGTACAGGGATGTTACTAAGATTTCAAGGTGCTGGGTAAATACATCAAGTGGGCCACGAATCAAAAAGCTAGGGATTTCTTTTGGTTGTATTTTTCTTCCATTTTCCTATGAAAGAAGCTGGAGGTCACATTAATTATAGTAGCCAGGGAAAAACCCTGGCCCCCACCTATTAATGATAGCCCTGCAAGAAGACATTATACAATATTATTGTCAAAAATCAATGATTATCACGAGCGACAAGAGAATTCCTTATCTCCAGGTTACTATTCACATACACAACACATACAGTTATATAGCTAGCTTCATTTGGACTTCCTCTAAGAATGAATAGAATGCAAACAGAAAACAATCTGATCGCACGTGTTTAGATATCTTCCATCACTCGTAATCTGATTGTGCGTGTTTAGACATTTTATCACTCATAATCTGATCATAGATGTTTTGACCATTAATCACGTGAAACTTGAAAGCACAGTACAGTGTTGCTTAGAGCCAAGCATTTTGACATTTGATTGTTGACGCAGGCACTCTATAATAATGGTACAAATTAAAGGGCAATGTTAAGCATTTAACAATGGTCATCATTAATTAAAACTGCCAGAGGGAATTTAAATTTGTCTTGGACTGATTCATACCAATTCAATAATTCCAGACATTTCTTCCCACTGAACTTCCTTGATGTTGTCGCCGCCATCAACAAGACCTTGGTATCCCTGTGTTTTTAAACAACAACAAGATTAACTGGTTTGGGTAGATACACTGTACAACTACAACTCTTTAATAGGTTAGGCAGGTACAAACTGGTAACAACAACAAGAGACAACTTTATTTCTGAGTCAGGGTGCGGTAAAGGCATCAGCCAATGAAAGAAAAGTCTGAGAGAGAATGCTTTAATGGTCTATATATATGTAGTACGTATACTGCATGGACTAAAGTAATGATGGCCATGATCATAATAATAGCAGTGAAAATGATAGTAACTGTGATAGTGATAATTATGTTGATGATGATAATAATAACAATGATGATGATGATAATGATAACGATGACGACAATGACAATGAAGATGATGATGATTGAAAACATTACAGTCAAGAAGACTTTAGCATGGACTGATCAAACAACGTGAAATAGAGTTTAGTTGCCATATATCGACTGGCCAACTAAACTAAACTCAACTAAACTGTACATGTATTTCATGTTGTCTGATCAGTCCCTGCTAAAGTCTTCTTGGCTGTAACGTTTTCAATTTGATCTACTTTGACTGATCACGATTTTTTTGGATCCGACATTGAGCAAGATTGATCGTACATGGTTTTTGCAGTGGTTTTTTTACATTAATTAAACATGATGATGATGATGATGATGATGATGATGATGATGATGATGATGATGATGATGATGACTACAATGGACATGGTGATGGCACCTGATGACAGCGACGATGATAATAACGATGCCTATGACCATGATGGTAACAGCAATGATGATGATGATGATGATGATGATGACGATGGCAATGACAAGACAATGACAATGGTGAGTGATGATAAATGCAAAGAAAACTTGAAGAGAGTACTGTGCTTTGAGCTTGTGAAACCCAGGGTACCCAGCAAATGATTGAAAAAAATAATAATAATAGAATTGCCTTGTCACTGACAAGCAAAAGTAAGGTCCACGGGGCTACCAGCTACTGCCGGAGCACACCCCTATCTGTGATGATGCTGGTGCAGGTGATGTCGATAATGACATTGACGATGGTTGAATAACTGGCCAGCCTCAGAATTCACATACCTCCCATACAGTGAAGACTCTGGCTCCTGCATAAAGTCCCATTCGTACTACAGCTCTGATAGCTGCATTCATACCTGATTATAATATGATCAGATGGTATTAGAATTTGATTTCCTAACATGATACAGATTTTGATTATTATATCTTAAAAAGTGATATTTTAAACTTTGCTTTAAGTTTAGACATGAATTTATTAATGTTTTAGGTAGCGTTACATTTCTAGCTAAAAATAAACTGCACATAAATTTGCATTAGTGAGACAGACTAAACTAATGTATGTTTGAACAAATAGAGCTAAATAGCATCAACAGAAGCAAAATGTGGAACGGCACCTCTAAAACAGGCGTATACAATGTAACATTTATGTCACAAAGTCCAAAATAATTCTCCCGTGATGAGAAATTCAAAACAGCGAAAGCAACTGAGAGGAACTCGGAACTAAGTGGCAGTACATAATTTTATTAAACAAGCCTTCCGGTACAAGCCGTTTAGTCTTTCTTTCCTTGATCATTACTTATTTAAATGGCAATAACACAAAATTCAAATATAAGAAATTAATTGTTATAAGTAATACCCCGTGCTCTCTGTTCCTTGCAGTACGAGCGAAAAGAATGATGTTTATTTGAAGAGTACATACACTTGAACAGTCGCATATTGACTGGACCAAATATGCAGCGGCGCTCATATTTTTAATTAATTTGTGAGCTCGAAAACAAATCTTTCAACAAATCCGCAGGAATAAGATATTTTTTCCTACCCTGTGCATCTCCACCGCTTGTTAAAACAGCAATGCACTGCCCAAAGCCATCAACATTCACCATAGTTGGAAGGCGAGATCGCCCAAATGCTTCTCTTTTGCCGGCCGCCGGGTCAGCTGTGCCATCAAGAACATCGGTTCCATTAGCTTCTTGTTTTAAACCCGATCTTGCATCAGGTCCGAACATCAGTTGCTTTAGCTTTCTTGAAAGCTCAGTCAACAGGTATAAAATTACCTGAGACATTTTTAACTTAGTATTTACAGAGACAAGCGTCCAGAGACTGAAAACATGCAATACTGCATGCCACTTCTCATCCTTGGAAAACAACAATCGAACGCCCGCGATCACAGATGGTCTTCGAAATTCTTCGGAGAAGGCGAACTTTCAACGATGGCCACCGATGTGTTTCGGATAATTCCGAAGTTCCGACAGGTGCACGATTATGTACTTCAGCTTTGAAAAGTGAAAATAATAATCATATCCATTGCAAAATTTATAAATCCTCGACAGAATGAAGATGAATGATAGGGAATGTGAAAATATATTGTATAACCTTCAGTTTTCGCTTCTGAAATAGGGATAACGCAAGCGAAAATTCACAGTGGAAGCTAGACAGTTTTTTATCTGTATACAGACCGATCCACGCTTCATACGAGGCAATTTACTTAATTTAGTTGGCTTTCAAAAAAAAAA